CCATGCAGATTTTACAGTCCAAGTGGTGTTTCGACTCTTCCCTTGATGTTTATTCCTCAAGCTGCAAATATGTAATCTTGTTTTTATTTCTGTATTTCTGTTAATCATGAGTTTTTCTGCGTGCAAGTGTATCTGATTGTTGCTGATAGACTCCAGTGCTCAGGATGAGATAATTCTTCTGGAGCTTGAGCTCCTGGGGCGGCTGCAGACATTGGCTTGTCACCCTTCTGTCTTCCCTCAGCCATGTGGGGAAACTCTTGGTCTTTGTTTTCTGGGGGAGGGGTTACTTTTCTGTGGCAGTTCTCTGAACTCCTTCTAACTTACCTGTGTTTGCAGATCTGCGCAGATATTCTAGGGGCATGGACTGTTTTTGTTGAACCTTCCTTTCACAGAAAAAAAATCACCTGAATTTTCTGTGGCAAAACTGCTTTTTGCCTTTTTTCCCCTGCTGGGTCCCACTGTATTGTGCTGACTGTGGACTTTTGCATAGTGCCCATTATTATTGTCTGTATATATTTATATAGATTTTTTATATATGTTTTCCATACATTTTCTATATTCAAAACCCAGTATGACCTGCATGGCCATTGTATCCTCTTCAGAGAGATAGTTTTATTTTTGTTTTTACAGTGTGTGCTTTTATGTCTGAAAGCTAAGCTGAAGAACTTAATCTAGTACCCACATATTTAACTTGCTGTCTATTGTAACATCAGTTATTTTCAACATTGCTTCTTCCCAGATTTTGCCTTCCCACTGCATGGATTTTTTTGGATCATTTCCCTTCACTTGTCTTAGCCTGCTTTTCTTCCCCAGAATGAATCTCATTTGATTATTTTCAGACTGCATTTCTATTCTCTCTGAGTCCCTGTGCATTATTTCCTTGTCCCCATTATTTTTGCAGCTCCTCCAAATGTGATATTTCCTGGAGATTTAAGTTAGCATGCTGTCTAGAATCTTTTCTGGAACATTAAAGAAAATACCAAGTGAAATAGGACCTAATACAGGTCTTTGCAATATTGCACCTTCTTCCCATGTTATCCCTTTGCTTTTATCATGATTTATTTGCAGTCAGTTTTCAAATCAAGCCACAGTATTCATCTCAAAGTACAAATCACTATCAAATGTTTACTGAAAATCAAACACACCACATCTGCTCCTTTTCCTCAGACTTCTAGTGCTGTAACACTAGCCAGAAAAGGGGCCAATTTCTAGCCAGTTCTGCTCTTCTGAATAGAAATCACGATTTCATTGTCCTCAGCCTTGTAGCCTGGTTTACTTTATAGGAAGCCTCATGAATTAAAACAGCTGTGCAGCCCATTCTGAAGTTCTGTTTTGTGGAGAAACAGTGCTGGGAAGAAAACAAGTGGAGTTTATGCATGTGAGGGGGAGAAGAGAGAAGAGGGATGTATGTGTGTGGGGAGAAGGGGAGTTGCTTTTATCTCTGTGTGTGAGTAACTGGGTGAGGCCATTAGGTCTATGTCTGAGGAACTGCTCAAATCCCTGAATATTCTTATGTTTCTAGACCATGGTTTTCATATAGTTCAGTGTTTTGCACTCTCCTGCTTTGCTTTCCCCGTGGCCTGTGATGCTGTTGGTCCTTGACGCTGGTGGTGGCATCAGCAGCCACCTCCTAGCAAGGCACCTTGGAAAATTCCTCTGCTTTAGCTGTTGCCCAGATATCTGTGATACAGAAAGACTGGAACACTTCTCCTGTAGTAAAAGGACCTTTCTCACTCTAAAGTACAACAGATAAAAACAGCTGTTTGGGGTAAGAAACAAAGGAATTGTGACAAAATATAAGGAGATGATGGAGATTGTAGGATGAAAGTGAGAGCATGCTTAGCCAAGACCTCTTTCAATGGGGAGTGTGAGTTATAGTCCCTGGAGACCAAGCAGAAGGCATCTCATTCATGGCTTTTTGCTTTGACCTGGCCATAATAAAATTTCAAAAGTTTCTGGTGACAGTAATGCCTGCACTGAACAATATTTTATATCAATGATTTAAAAGGATTATTAGTACCCCTTCTCAGCTGGGGCAAGTAGCTGGGAGCAGGCAGATATAAATTTAATCCATTTTTCTAAAAAGACTTTACCTATATTTTTGAGTATGCTTACCATCTTTCCATGCTCTTGCCTGCATCCCCTCTTCCACCTGGCTTTTGTTACCTGCTCACTGCCCAGCCTGGACCACCTGCCATGATGGGAAGGATGGCATGAGGCAGCCTGGGTGTTGAGATCTGTAGTGTTGGATCCCTGGTGGAGGGCATGATGGGACTAGGGAAGAGCATAGGCTGTGTTTGTACTTGAGAAGGAAGCCTGAGTTGGCCTGCAGGTGAAAATTTTTCTGTCCAAATCTTGGGAAGTAGGGTATGGACGTGGGGTTTTTGTTTGTTTGGGGTTTTGTTTGTTCGTTCATTTGTTGTTGTTGGTTTGTTTGTCTTCTTTTTTTAAGTACAGCTTGAAAAAAAAGCAGTTAGCACAAATACTGCTATTGAGCCTCCTGATCTAAGCTGTAAAATTGTTCCTGGTATGTTCATTACTGTTCTTGTGAGACATCAGAGGAATTGAGTCTAGCAAGACACTATGAAGAGGTGTTAGAAGCTTATGGTTGTGTTTTGTAATAGCCTTACAAATTTTCATCTAATGCACTGACAGCATTGGGGCAGCTGCAGACCTATACACCTCAGAAATGTCTTCATCGTTTTTCTGCTCTGTGTTACATTTTCCACCTGAAAAAAATCCTTTTTTCATAGATGGATGCACTAGGAAATAGGGCAAAAAGGCCTGCATCTACCTCAAAATTTGCAGTCCCAGGCTTTATGGGGGCACATAGGACTGTGGGCTGTCTCTCTGCTTTCTCCTCCTCCTCCCCTCCCCAGGTGCAGACCTAAACTGAGCAGTCCAGGCCTAAAGACCAAGCCCAGATCTGAGATGTGCCACCTCCCACGGTCTGACTTGTCCTCCTTGCTGAAAGAGCTTGGTACATAGAGTTTGACCAAGCAAGAAAGTATGCAGCAATGTCTGTGGTACCCGGAGCAACCTGGGGGTTGCAGATATCATTCTGCTGATGCCCCCCTTCATCACAGCTGCAGAGGTGGACCAAGAGCCTCCCAGCTGTGTAGTCCCTGCAATGGGGCTGGCAGTGGTCTCCCACCTCCCTCCTCTGCCCAGTACACCCAGCAGGTCGGTTCTCTCTCCACTGAGTACTGCTGCAACCAAAGGATTTGTTTTTGCTTTGCTTTACTATTTACTACAATGATCAAAGCAGCCACTCCTTGTGATCATAAAGAGAAGCCTTAAAATCTTATTTAAGAGCACAAGTATTTTGAGCTTTGACAGATATACTTGGAAAACAACACAGATGTGCAGTGTCAGATTTCACTGCTGCATACAGTGTATTAGTTTCAAACTATAAATTTGGCTAGTGGTGCTGGGCATGTGCTTTCCCAAAACCTTGTTGCCTGCAACACGGGAAAAACAAATTTCTGGGTTGGGGGGATTTTTTCCCCCTGCCTATACTCCCTTGGAGAGTTTGAAAGGAAAATGATCTTAGCAGAGTGAGCATTCAACCCTGCGAGGTTGCAAACCTTTGGGTTATTTCTAACCTAATTATCTCGAATTAAACAAAAGCTTAAGAATGTTTTTGCTTGAAGTGAAGGTGAGGATAAGTAGACTTCATGTGCAGAGCAGCTCCAGCCAACAGCGTGGCTCTTCCATTGCGGAATATTGCCCGTGGCAGTGCCCTGCTCTAACGAACAGCGCTCGCTTCTCTGAAGGGCTGGCTTTCCTGAGCTGATGTGAGAGGATCTGCAGCTCTAGAGCAGTTCACTCCTTTCCCCTTCTCAGCCCTCCTATGGATGTGTGATCACTTTGGACTGGTGACGTTTTAGATGGAGCACGGTCTCCTTATACTTGCCTGGCAGTGGCTCATTAACTACGTGTTAATTGAAACTGAAAGTTTGTCAGATGATTCAATTCAGTTACATGCTAAATGGATTCAGTGCAGTAAGCATTACTGCTGTGGTGAAAATCTCTCTGGAATTGATCTGTGAACTGATTTAAAGGGATTCATTGGCTTCATCAGTGGCTCTGAGAGGTCAGCATTGGGAGAGCAGGCAGCTGTAGCCACACTCCCAGCAAAACAACTCCTACTCTTTCACCCTAAACAGTTTTAATTACTGGCCAATGTGTTCCCTTTCCAGGACATATGTTAGGGGGATAAATTTACTCTGGAGAAGTGGAAAAGAAAATGAGGAAAATTAAAAGTGTGTTCTGAATTCTGTAATCTAAATGGCTGAAATGTTGGGTTCTTATCTTCCTGTGGATTGAGCCGTTACAAAGTTTTCCTAAAGTTTGACTCAAACATAAATGTATGTTTTAGAGAAAAAAAATTAAAGAAACCAGAAGAAAAACATCTGCTTTAAACTAAAAGACAGAAATTTCAAAATTTACGTCCTCTATAACTCATCTTTTATACTTGGCCACTGCAAAAGTCTCCCTTAAGTGGGCAATTTATTCTGTATGCTATACCTGCTTATATGGTTGGTTTCCGTGTGGAGCCAATTTTTATTGCTGAGTTATAAACCCTTTGAAAATAGGGGCTTGTAATGGAAGCACTGACAGACCTTTAACTAGGTCAGTTTTATCTGGCTCCATTATCTTTGCTTTTGTTAAAGCATTAAATGGTTGCAGATTTGTTTATTTTTCTCGCAGTCCCAGAATTTTAACATGGTTTTGTTATTGAATTGTTTTTTTCTTCAAAATGTCATGAACACCCACTACTAGAGAGCTTATCCAGACTACACAGTAATCTTTAAAAGTAAATGGAACTGTTGTGTCTTATTTCAAGATTTTTTGCTCATACGGTACTTTTGGTCTGTAGCACATCATTACCATAGTAATGCCAAAGTTTGTCCTCTTCTAATCTTGAATTCTTCTTTGTCTTTTGGGCTCCTTTCTGCGTAAAATGACAATGATGTTTTTTTGTTTCTCCCATTCAGATGGAAAGCCATACCACTGCAACTTCCCCGAAGAGGAAACCCCAATGATAACATCTCAGTTGGATGAACTCCCAAAGCTGGGAGGCCACAACACCAGAGAGAATGAAGCCAGGGAATCTAAACCAGAGATTCCTGCTGTGGTCTCAGCACTGGAGAGTGTCATCAAGGAACCCTTTTCAAAATACCATGGTTCTACAGACATAAAGATGCCAGTATTTCATCACAGCCAAGGGCTTCCTTGCTCCAGTCACATTGCTGGCTTTGCTTCTGGCATGGGCCAGACATCTTTAGACATGGTCATGGACTTGAAAACGTCACTTGAAGTGCAGGCTAGTCGTGCTAGAGAAAATTTGCTAGACTTGCACAGGGAGCATCCTCTGATAGAAAAAGGTGCTGAAGCTCTAGAGGTAGCTCCACTTGATTTGAGTGAAAAATCAACAAGGGATAGTTCATGCAATAAATATCTGAATACATCCTTGCAGGCTGCTTTAATTGTCTACCCGTGTCCTTTCTGCAGTCACAAGACCTACTACCCTGAAGTCCTGTGGATGCACAAAAGAATTTTGCACAAAATCAGCTGTAACTCGATGGTACCCCCGTGGGTTCAACAAAATGGATTCAAGAGTATTAAAACCAACCTGGTCTTTCTGGCGAGGAGTGGGCGCACTGGCCCCCCTCCTGTTCTCGGTGGGAAGGAATGCCAGCCTTTGCCCATTGCCAGATTTACACGTACTCAAGTGCCAAGTGCGTTGCCAGGTTCCAAAGCCAGCTCCCTTTCTGTCGGGATGGCTGCAAAGTCTGGGAGTATGCATCCATCAAAGGACAGTCACGCGCTCGGCCACTGCGGTTCACGTGTCTCAGGCCTGGATGGGTACAGACAGCCCAAGTTAAACCATTCCCAGGAGCAGTACAGCATAGCAGCACAACAAAAAAGCAAATACGAAGCAAATTCCAAACTCCCACAAATGGGAAGCTACGGCAGAAGCATAACACCTACTCAAACAGTCATATCCAGGCCTGGAACGCAGCCCACCAACAGTAAGCAGGTGGAGAAGTATGTGGTTCCCCAAGGAAGTACTGGTTTTGCCTCTCCAGGTAAGCACTGTGCATCCGACTCCATGAAGGCCAAATACACCCCCCCGCTGCAGTACCACGCCCTGTGTAAGAGTGAGCAGTACCCTAAACACGAAGAGCCGTCCGTGCCTCAGAGGGAGCCTCACGTCAAGGCTGGGAATGAGATGAGGACATTGGCAAACTGCACAGCAGTTGCACGAGCCAGTCCAGTGCTGCAGCCTCAGCCTGGTGCCGTGGGAGTTCCTCCAGCTTTACACTCCAGCAAACAGGATATGGGATCAGATGGGCATGAGAAACATTTGGACATTTTAAATATCTTTAAAACATACATTCCAAAGGACCTTGCTTCACTGTACCAAACCTGTGGTGCCAACAGCCCTGTCCTAGATCACACAGGTAAGATTTTAACAAGCCCTTGCATTGCTGGGGACGTAGCTTGTTTGTTCCTTCTTTGTTCAGAACCATGACGTGCTGTTTCCCAGTTTTTTCCCCTCTCTGCCTTTAACAGTTAGGATTACAAGTTCACTGTTTTTATCATTGCTGGATAGGCTTGAATAGGTTTGTTTACTGCTCTCTTAACATTGCAGCATCCCCCCTTGTGCTCTGTGTGACATTTCTGTCGCAGGTTAAATGTATCTGGTTCCACCTGGAGTACTGCTGTTCCTTTGTCCTCTTGCTTCAAGCAGGCTAGAGTTACACAGATGTGCTGTCACAGGAAGATCCCCCTGATATGCTGGTGCTGGCACACATCATCATCTTTTTGCTTCAGGCAAAATAAACATCCTCTGGGGCTTATCTGTGATGTTATTTTGGAGGTTTTGTTCAATTTTGTCTGCAAACAAGTCTTCCAACAACACAGAGGGATAATCGCTTGTCAGTGTCCTTTGTCTTTCTTGACAAAAGTCTTGAGATCTTCCTTGTCCATATCAAAGGCTACTAAGTATTTTTCAAATTAGTCTTTTGATTTTTTTTTATAATTATAATTAAAAAGAGGTAGAGCTGAACATGTGCATGCTAATTTACATAAGCAGAAAAATCAGTTGTGCAAATTGCCAGTTTAAAAGTTTAGGGACTAAAAAAGTTCAACGGCCGTATAAATAAAAATACATCTACATATTTGCATTTGAAACCATACTCTTCTGATGATCTGCCAGAATTAGTTTGTCTCAGTGGAAACTGAAAATCACACTGATTGTTTACACATGAGATGTGTGTTTGTCTGTAGGGGAGTAGAATTGGAGTCATAGTCTCACCTCTTACCACTTGTAAACTGTGCTACTTTTTATACCCTTCTCCTCTTTGTAGAAGTCATGCAAATGAACTTGTCATGAAAATGCCACACATTCTGGGGCAATGTTCTGGTGTTCTCCCTTGACATAATACACTCTGTTTTGTCAAAAGCATGTGTGAAATGGATCTTTTGCAAGTGGTACAAAATCCAGGACCCCTGGAAGGTGGTAGTATTAAGGACAGCTGTGGTTTGGTGCCCAGATGATGTGTGCAAGTTGAGGCAAGGAAGGAGCCCAAACTGTTAAGTCAGGTTTTGGTGGAAGGGCCTTTTGGAGGAGACAGGAGGGCAGAATCTCCCTGACAGAGGCCATGAGTGATGAGTGGCACCTTTCAGCCACTGTCAGTTCTGCTCAGTCACTCCAAAGGTGGTGCTGTGAGGGGCCTGCTATTTATTGAGCAGATCATTTCACAGGAACTCAGGGCCTGCGTGATGATTGCAGCCAACATCAGGCTCCTGAGTTTTGTTACGGAAGCAGAGGAAGACAAGCTTAGTGTGTGAAACTACAGTTTCAGTGTTCCTTAGCGGTTTTTTGGTCCAGTCGGCTTTGCTTTCGCCATCCCAGTGGATTGTTGTCTAAAGTTCCTCCCTGCCACGTCCTGCTCCAAGTACCAGTTAATTGTACCACCCCCAACTCGGGGTACCTTCGCGTGGGTGCTCTCCATGATGTTATTTAATAGTACATTGTGTCAGCCTGCTCAGAGAAAATCTTACTGATCCAGTGAGCTCCCAGCCACGTTAGGAGGGATAAGAGAAAAACAGTAAAAGCTAGGAAATGGAAGATGACTAAGTGAAGGCAAGGACCAGAAAATTCATGATGACTTTCGGAACAAAGTAAAATAGGGGCAGGGTTTTTAAAGAGGTCTCTGTTTACCTGCTTTTTAAAAGAGGGATTTTATTGCCAAAATGTTTTTGCTGGGCATTGATTTCTAGAAACGCTGTAACTGGAAGTTATTTAGTGCCCATCTCTGCTTTGAAACCTCTTCTTTCATTCCAAGTGTTTTACAGCAATAAAGTTTTCAGAATTTGAAACCCCCCTTTCTTTTTTAATGTAGCTTGTCTTGGTTTTATATACAACTTCCAGGTTGCTGATGTTTCTCCAAACCAATTGGCATGACGGCTGTTTTTCATAGCACTCAAATAAAAAGCTGCTTCAGGCAAAGGAATGAGATCCTACCAACTGCAAAATGTTATTCATCTGAAATAACATATGGCTCTAGATAGGCTGAGTCCTCTGAGTCAGTATGCATCATCCCATTTAGCTTTAATACTGTAATGTGAATATGGCAATTATGACATAAAGGACATCCAAAAATCTGGATTATGTATACTATTTGTCATGTTCTTTTCCCCTCGGTTGAATATTCCCAATGGACTTTCCTTGTGGTTTTTGGTATGTGATGTCATCTTGGATCACACTAGATTATTTTAGTGTGTGGTAGTGCAGTATTCAACTTCCTTTTGAGTGGCTGCATTTGTTCTTTGATGTTTGCGTTTGTTCCAGTGTGTCCTTGGAAGAGAGTTGTTGTGTGTACTGCTGTGATACAGCTGCAAACATGAAGCTTGCTGTGCTGGGCTAGGTTTGTTTCACTCTTCCCAGTCTTACGAAGTGCCTGTGGAGAGAATCTTACTGTTACATTTAATAGAGGTTATTTATTTCATTTGTGCCATTTATATATTAGGAAAGGGTGGGTTATGGCAGCAGATGCACTTTCTTTGGGGCTCCTTTGAGACCAGCTTTGAGCATGGGTTTCACAGGAGCTCCCATTCACACAGTGGTGTTCCTTTACCTGAATTATCGAACACCTGCAGTCATCCACCCCCTTTTATTCACCTAGAGGATAACCTGAGTGATGACTCGCCCCCATGGCTCAAACCTCTGAACTATCTAAAGCCTTCTGGTGCTACCTGAGAAATGCAACAATGGCAAATACACCTGAAAGCAATCCATTTTTTTCCACCTGCTTATTGAATCCCTCCCATAAAGTGAGTGCTAGGGAGGGGCTAGGTGGAAGTCTTAACCCACTAATCCTTGGTGTTTGTACATTGGTTTACAAACAGCATGCTCCGCCTTCCCTCATGGGTGAGAGAGGTGCTTCCATGAAGGCTGGGGGATCAGATTGGTGATGGCTGCTGAGATAAGTGTATTCCTCTTCAACAGAAGGAAATGTGGGTTTCAGAGGGATTAAATGTCTTTCCAGAGGTGTCAGAACCATGACCTGAGGATCCCAGCTCTCCTGGGCCTCACAAAGCTGCTCTGCCAGTCCCTGCCTGTCCACAGTCAGCCTGGCACTCCTGCAAAGGCCACGGCTGGTTCCTCCACACACTTCCCTCAGCTTTGCTTTCCAGCTTTCAGCTACAGTTCTGGGCAGTGAGGGGAGAAATGCTCGTAACAGCTCAGAAATCCGCCTTTAATCCTGCCTTCCTTACAAGGCAAACCCATCCTGTTGCAGTTCAGTAAGGTTCTCCTTCATGTTTAGTACACTTAAGATTTTTTAAAATTTTTTTTGATAGGTTGTTTTTTCCCTAGGGTTTTGTTTGTTTGTTTGTTTGTTTGGGGGTTTTTTTGTGTGTGTGTACCAGATCTGGATTTTTCCCTAAATCATGATCTTGTATTTGACAGTCAGAAACCTAATTTTGTGAGTATTCAGGTGTATTATGCAGACTGTGCTGCCATCTGCAGGAGGTGCTGTTATAAAAGAAGAAAACAATCTGTGAGTGGGATGTTTGTTTGGAGGTTTTTTTGCAGCAAGAGATTTCTTTGCAGTATATGGTCTGGTGAAAACCATCCCAGGATACTTGGTGTCATACCGGCAGAGTAAATGGCAGCTGTCTTCTTCTCCATTCAATTTCAGGTGCAGCATCCATATTTTGGATTAATCTTGTGGCATCCTGCAGTTGATTTTTCAGTTGTGTGGAGGTTTTTTGTTGCCACTTTTTTGGTCTCAATTTTATTCTTTTTAAATTCTGTGACTGGGAGGGGGGCGGGGGAACATGAAAGAAAAGCTGAAACTTCGCTTCTGTTGACATCCCTTTCGAATTTCTTTAAAAGCCAGAGTATTCCAGTGGCAAATGGAAACATCAACTCTTTTCTTCCAAAGAGGGTGTTTTACCAAAATAGAAAAGATGATGTTCAAACATTTTTTTAAAATAATAAAAAAGCCCAATAAAAGTCAAATGTGTCTTTTTTGATCAGCAGCAAAAAGACAAAGACCAGCCCTTTAAGTCAGATGCTGTAAACTGACCTTTGGAGAAAAAGGAGAGGTTTGAGCAGTTTTCCACAAATGCTAATGGCCTAGAAAACATGTTTACCCAGGGCTCAGGGAAGGCTGCTGTGCTGCTACCAGCTCAAAATGTCCGGAATGACACTTTCATTCACAGATGTCTTTCGTCTGTGCCTCAGAGGTCCGGGGTCAGAGCAGCACCGGCAGGCAGGTAGGCAGGGGCGAAAGGTTTGATCAGTCTCCGATGGCTGCGCTCGCTCTGCATTTGTCTCTGAGGTATTGCCGCCTGGGGGGGACAGTCGGGCTCTGGTCCTACTCACTTCCTATTATCCATGTGACTTGTCTCCGCCACGCTGGAGTCACTTTGATTTGCCTGATGTACTGCTTGACAAAGCTGGGTGATGGCTGAGAAGTGGATCCAGCTGCTCTGAAAAGCGCACACCTGACATGCCAGTCCTGGTGCGGGCACATCACGGGGAGCATTTTTTAATTCAATGTAATTTATGCATTCTTGCAGTCCTGTGTGTGCCTGGCCTGTCAGCCACTGCCTAGATGAAGGCTGACAGTTGTCATCCAGGGCCTGAAGGTAGCCTCACATAATGACACATTAGACATACTAATGATGTTTTCTTCTGGCATAATGTTTTCTTCTCAACTTTCCTCTCTCCTCTCCTCCCCCCCGCTTCCCTCCCTCTCTCCTGACTACAGGGATGCTCAGGACACAAACACGCCAAGGAGACTGTGTCTGCAGAGAATGTGGAAAATGCTTTACCCAGCCCAGCCACCTCAGGACTCATCAGAGGTCCCACACAGGTATCTTTTCACACTCGCTATTGCTTTTTCCATTTCTCACTTGCCTGCTTTCAGATTCAGCTAACAAAATGCCAAGAATTACATTTCACGTACCATGTTAGCCTAAGTAATTCCAGTACCTAAATCTAATAGACATGTTTTTTATTTTTATGACTATTGCTCTTGTTCTCCAAATATTGCTTACCTGATCCCTGCCCGAACTCCATAAAATTGCAATGCATTTAAGATAAGTCTGTTTGCAAATGTTTTATTTTAATTAGAGAGTAGGGTACTCAGAAATGAATATGCTAATGAATTCTGTTGCCACCAGCACAAATTGAAATCAAAGTACCCCTTTCAGCACAACATAAGGCTTTGTTTTGCCTCATCGTGGCTGTTGACAGGAACATTTTTGTGGGAAATGAGATTTACCCTCAGACTGGTCAGCCCTAAAATGGGAAATCCCTACCAGCCTTTTTTAACCTGCCACGGTCTGTGGTTGAGGCTGGAGGACGCTGAAGCCACCAGTGTCCTGAGCCCTCCTGAGCATTGCATGAGACAGTGAGAGTAGCAGGTTCCTCCTCAGAAGTGTGAATGATGCATACGTAAGCCAGTCTGATGCAAAATGACAGAAGCCAAATGGTAAGTAATGCAAGAAGAGGGTCCCTTTACACATACACTGATAATTAATGTTGTCAGTGATTGCTTTCTTCAGCGCTGAAGTCTGAATTAAAAAGGGCAGTGGCCCTAGGCTGCCATTAGCACACTCTCTTACAGTAAGTGTTACGGTAAATTGGTATTTTCCGGCCACAGGCTAGGAGCTGGTGTCTTTTTTTGAACGTGGTTAATCTGTAATGGTCTCAAATAATGTACACACACTAACAAAGCTTGAATGTTCATCTGTTAACAAGCCCCCTTGTTCCCACAGTGGTGTTTGAGTCTAATGGACTCCGAGGTACTGAAGTTCACACCACCTCTGCAGATGCCCCAAAACAAGTATGTTTTACAATTAATTGGGTGTTTGGTTTTTAATGTGGTAGCTGGGAAAATATTGCACAGTGATACTCATCCCTAAAGCACTGACTGTTTTATAACGTGTATAAATAATAATGGTATTGCTTAATTTTTAGCTCTTAAATTTTTAAAGCATTTTATCAGAATCTGATATATAGAGAGTCAGTTAATTTTAAAGCAGGTAGTTAGTGTTTAAATAAACATGTTACTGGCTTACTTGGGGACTGGGTGGGATGGGTAACTCTGTAATGTGCATTGACGTGTAATAGTGAGATAGCACATAAAGAATTCCTGGAAATTTGCTTGTACAATTAACACGTTTTCTGCTGCAACAAGACAACTAATGTTTAGTCTCTATTTTTCTGAAGAGTTTTTGCACCCTGATACCCAGTATATGACTTGAAAAGCTCTCACCCACCAGTTTCCATGGACTCCGTTAGTGTGCTTTCCTGTTTCTAGTAGTATACAGTTTCCTGTTTAACAAACACTTCTCAGAGCTCTGAATTATACCTGACAAAGCTGTTATATAGAAAACCATTAAACTGAAAAATCATTAAACTGAAACACAACTTTTTTTTGTGTATCTTACGTTGTTGGAGAATAGTGTCATAAACTGGACCTTCCCATTCAGTTTCCAGCTTGGCAGGTTTGTTTCAGAGCACACTTTCTCATGGGCACTGCCCTTTCATTGTGAAACTACTTACAGCATCACTCATTTTTCCTTTCATCCTCATTCTTAGTGTAATTTTCACTATAGTAGCCCCTGTCCTCCTGTCTGTTACTAAACTGTTGCAGGTGTTTTTAGCCATGCTTAGAAAATGCATCTTCATGCTGCTCCCAACGTGATGAAGTTCAGGAATTGGTTTCTCCTTGCTCAGTAAGCATTCTCACTGGACACCACTGCACTGCCAAGTTCATGTGCTGCACCCTTCATGAAGACTCTTGGCACCTTCTCTGTGCCCTTGCATCTTTCTGGCCCAAAGGCTGCATGGAGAACCCAGCCTCTGTCATAGGAGTGTCTGAATGGACACCAAACCATAGGAGTGGCCTGCATTCTCATAAAGTTTCCAAGATGGCATAGCACTTGAGTTGTTGTTGTGGGCAGTGTTTGCTATGCTTTTGTGGGACAGTAGCTGCAAAGTTATGTTGCAGTGTCCGCCTTATGATGCTTATCGGATAAAACTGTGCAGGGACACAGACACACTCAATGTAACAGAGTGAAACACTGCAGCTCTGCCGCCTCACTCAGCTAGTCTTTGGTTCTCATCAGTTTAGTAACATAGATTTAGTAAACCTAAGCATCTTGTAAGATGCTCTTTCGTCCATGCTCATGGTTTTCTCTCCTCATGTGTAGTTGAGATCACATTCTGAAGGCATCTGGGCTTACTTCTAGAAGACAATATAAGGCCAAAGTTGGAAATACATTTCCAAAAAAATCTGGAATGGCCATATATATCCAAAAAGAAATGTGTCAGCTCAGACCACATCTGGGCTCTCTTTGTAATTTGGGTTATATTGCCACACAATTAATTGACTCGTAATCCTGTCTTTGTAAACTATTGTCATGCCAGAATTTATTGACTAACTTCTTCCATGGCAAAGGTAGCTTGCTCTCTCTATCTGCCAGTGTGCCTTCAAAGCATTTGATGAAATTACAGCATCTCTCAGTACCACAGAGCACCGAATTAGCTTCTTCAATGGCTTCATCTCGTGCCAGTCGGCATTTCTTCCACAGAAGATGCGGTGTGATCACTCCTGCAGGAGATGGTTCCCTTTCTTTTGTGGTGTTTGCTCCTCGGTACCGACCTTTGTCTCAATTTGTCAGCGTCTGTGTCGGGGGATTGTTCAGTTGTCTGCTGTTTCGCTGGCTCTCGTGGCAGGCAGGCATTGTGCTGCCCCAGCAGCCTCCACCTGCACAGTCCCTGGGCGTTACGGAGGGAATGCTCTCATTTCCACAGGCAGCTGTGGGGGCCCTTAGAAGCACAGAAATGAGCTCTCAGTGAGAATGGCGCCTGCAGCATTCCCTTAACATTACCATTTCCCACTTTAGACGTTGTCACTCCATGTCTTCATTTCATTTCTTAATTGGGGACAGATCTATTCATGAGAGTTTAGGGTGTAAAGTCAGTTCAAGTTACAGGAGTGCCGTGCACATGCTCCGAGCAAGAAACAATAGTTACCTATATGGTAGTTTGAGAAGGGAAGAGGGGTTTTTTTTTGATGTCAAGTGGAAATGATTCACTTTACATAATGTTTCCACCTCACAGGTAAAATAGCTTCCCCTGAGTAGTCTGCTAAAAAGTAAAAATATTAACATTAGTATTTCACGGTTCCGCCATTCCCTTCTCTACTCAGCCAGATCATCTCTAAAGGTTTGCTTCAGGAAACAATGTTAGGTAGGGCTTTTAAAATCCCCCAGCATGGTAGCTTACAGCACTGCCACGTTGAATAGCAGTTTTATCACAGAATAATTCTAATTCTGCGTGTTAAAAATAGCTTCTACTGCCAGGCTTTTTCAAAAATGAACCAGCTAAATCTATATTTAGGTGTCTAAATAAGAACCCTATTTTAGGGTAGTGAACCACCAACAGGAGGTGCAGGTGTTCAGCCTCTGTGAGAAGGAGGTTACCTATAGGAGTGTGTAAAAAAAGATCAAACAACATACAAGTTTTGCTACTATTAGCACTGTGCTGTGTTTCATGCTTTGTTACCAGCACCAATGAAATATAAATGAAATGTAGGAAATAAGATGTTCATTCATAACATTATTTATTGTGGTTTCTTATTTCTACCTGAATGCTTTAAACAAAAAACCCAACCAAATGACATTTTTACATAAAATTAATTTCCCATGAACTTTGGAATATTTCCTACTCTTCTTTTTCTAAGGGACAAAAAATGCTCATTACATACCCCAAGTCAATACAATCTGTGCTAAGTCACAGATTCTTTTGAAAAGCTGCCATATGAAACATATTGAATATTCTGAATATTTTTACAAATGCTTAATATCCCAGCATATACATAATTAAACTTGCTTATCCACAATGAATATGTATCTTAATTTGGAATACTCTTAAGCAACATCCAGATTTAGCAGGCATGGATTCAGGGAGTACACTCCAGTTGCACGTACATGGCAAGACAAAAGCTGGCTCCCCTTCAGAAGGGGCCCTGCAACCACGTGTGTGTGTGTGTGTGTGTTTGTCTCAGAGCAAGGCTCTCCTAAAGCGTGGGGTCATTTCAGAGGCACTGCCTGATGCTGCAGCCAGAAGCCCAATTCCCAGAGGTACAGGAGTCAGTCTGAGCCTGCTTTTTCACAGTGGTGACAGCAGTGGTGGCAGTTTCTAACGCGTACACCGTGAGTTTTGACTCCTTCTGCGTTTTTAAAGCCATATAAAAACCTGGCCTGCTTTAGCAATGCAGTTTATGCTCCATCAGTGTCAATCAATACTCTCTAAAAATTTTAAGGGACAAGAAATCGGGTTTTCAAAAGGCCTGATTTCCTGGTTAGCAATGAGGGAGAGCTCCCTCTAATTGAGTGTATATGTGCGTGAACCATATTTGTAGCACTAGAGACAGAGACACCAAGTTCTCCCTCTTCTGTGTGAGTGAAACAAGGAAAATCCCCAAAACTCCAACCTTTGTCCTCTCCAGAAAAACAGTTTTTATTTACAGAAAATCAGTTAGAAGCTGCAGCCCAGGGAAAAAAAAATACCTGTTCATATCCTGAATTCCCTGGGTGAAGCTTTCCCCATGCCAGAAAACAGATCAGCCTTTTTTGTGAAACAGCTCTGGACACCCCAGTTTTTGGGCCTCGTTCACTGAAAAGACAGGTATGCAGTAGGTCCTGTACCTACTGTGTGACCCTTCATTAAGGGGTCCATAAACCTTTATTTTCTCCACTATAAGTATTTAAAAATATTTCTTGCAGCGTTCAGTACTTGAAATCATGTAAATAGGAATAGCCTGAGCTTGGGGGATAGAAAGATTGGATAGAGCCATCAAGAAAACACTATATACATGTCTATATGTGTGTTGTAAAGGAGCTTGGGGGTAAAGCTGGGGACATCTGTTACCTGTAATGTTTTTACAGTCCAGCAACACTATGGCTCTGCTTGTCCTAAAGCAACTTTACAGAGAAAGGGAGGAGGCAAAAAAACATAACCCAGATTAAAAAGTTATTTAAACTCTTGGTTTCTGAGTTTGGCTGATTTGAGTTTTCTTGCACTCACAATTCTAGTTCTGTCTGTTAGAAGTCCTATTTATGACATTTGTTCATATGAAATGTCTTGCCCCAGTTCCTTGCAGAGTTTCTTCCAAAGATCATGATTAATAGTTCAGTCCTCATTATTGCAAATGTTATTTTTAAATAGTTATTCTGAGAACAAGAATTCCATTAATCAAAATAATAGATAATGAACAAATAAATGGCAACCTAATTTGTCTCGTTCATACATATGGAGATTATAATGCAAACAATCAAGGAACCATGGAGGCTGCTGTACTGGCATCTGAGTAATATGCATGTGCTGTACGTCTGTTACTTTATGAGCTTTAGAGACAGGATTTGGAGCTCTGGTTCTTGTCCCAACAATTGTCCTTTGCTAGCAAACTGCAGTGGTATCTGTGCTCCTTGCAGTTTACTCCAATGTCATGCAGTGATCTGTCTCCAGCATATTAACATGCACACAAACTGGGTTTTTCCTGTTGACTAGGGAAAAGCACTGGAAGTTGCTATGAGAGCAGCTTTTGGCATGGAAGCTGTAGGTTTCCTGTAAAGATCTGCTGCTTTTCACTGAAAGTGAAGAAAACCTTGTTTTTAAAATGGAAAAAAAAATATTTCAGGAAGAAGTCAATCCAACTCTGTATCAGCTGGTTCAAAATGTGACCATACCTTGTGGGGTGGTGTGAGTACAGGCAGGTGAGCCCCTGGGTGATTTTGGCACACGTGAAGCTCAGGTTCTGTTCACCAGTGAAACTGGGAGCACAGCTGTGCCTGAGAGGGACCCAGCCACACAGCATCTCCAGCCCCTCTGCACTGTCCTTGCAGGTGTGGGGCGGATGGATTGTCCTTCCCCTGGATCCCTTGTGCTGTGTGGTCCATGACATGCAGGGCACGCCTTCACCACCTTGCAGGCCATCCATCCCAGAAGAGGGCCCCTAATTACACCCCTTTTTTCAGTTTCTGCTCAGGGAGAGTGGGGCAAGAGGCCTGCCATCCCTCCCTTCCCCTTCCCTCCCTCCTCCCCAGCCCTGTGAAGCTCTGCCGTGCTCCCCCGTGTACGTGGAGCCGGTTCGATGCGAGGCGTTCCAGTGATGAATGCCTCCTCCTGGAATTGTGGCTGTGTCTCTCAGGCATGATGCAGCCGCGCAAAAATGTAAAGCATCTTTCTTAGTTTACTGCGGGAAATTCAGCATCCAACTAAGGAAGTTTTATCACATCTCTCATTCAGTTACTGTTTCCTACATTTCAAATATACTGCGGTCTGTACAGCAGCTTTTTTTTTCTTTAATTTTGTTGCAAATCTTTCCGACTTAAAACCAAACTTTGACTGGTAAATGTCATGAATCTCGGGCCAGGTTTAATTAGGAATTTTCTAAATCTATTAACAAAAGAGATGCACTTAATACATTATGTCAACCAGAGCTGGGCTTTCTTTAGCTATTTCGAGGGCTGCCATAGGCACAGCTTGAAACTTGCTTGGATTTTACATGGGTGCTGTATTTTATGTTGCATTAATTTAAAATGGTCTGTTTCACTTCATCAAGACTTTAGCCTAAGGATAATGCATTTATGTAAGATTAATCTTGCCATGTTGTTTTAGGATCAGGATTGTAAACTGCATTGTTCCGACAGTGATGTTCTAAATGTCATTTTAAAGCTTTTCTTGGGAGCTGCAGGCTCCCACTTATTCATGATGTTATCTTTAATTTCACTTGATTTTAGAATATCCCTGATATTTTTTTTTCAAAGTGGTAATTATTCATGAAAATTGTTTAAGGAAATAAAAGGAAGATGACAAGGGGGGAAAAAAGCCGCCTTACCATTTGACAGACGTGCACAAGAATTCAGTTTTTCTTCATTTAGCTGCCTCTGTGACCTCAAACTTCAGCCTTTTTAAAACACTGATCTAGTTGTGAATCCCTTTTGGCTAGCTCATAATTTCCACTTTTTGGAGGCCACTTTTTTCCCTTCTTGTTCTCGGCCTTCTCTGAGCTGCTCTGCCAGGTCCTGTTACTTCTTCTTCTAGCCCATCTTTATGTGGGACTTTATATGGGCCTGACACGCTTTGCTCTTGGTGGAGATGCATTAAAAAAACAAAACCCCTAAAGTGTTCTCACGTGGTGGGTCGAGATGAATGTACATGATACTAATAAAGGGTAACGAATGCCGGCACAACTTGCCGGAGGGTCGCGCCTGGGAGCAGGGCTGAGAATGAGCTTTTCCCCGTGTTGTCCTTCTTGCAGGGCAGAGACCACGGCAGCGCGGAGCTCAGCCACATGCTGCATCTCCGGAAGGGAACCTAGATCCCGGGCGGAGGAGCCCCGGCAGCCGCCGAACTCCAGAGCATCCCCTGCCAGCCAGGGCCGCACCCGGAGCGGCTGCGCCGGGCTGGGAGCAGGCTCTGCCAGCAGCGGGGTGCCCCCGCGCTGTTCATCATCCTAAAACAAATGAAGATGCTACACAAGATATATATAAATTGACATACTAATCAGTCCCATGGTTCCTTATTTCCTTGATAATAAACAGTGGAGTTGGCAAGCACCGTGGCGGCACAAGGCATCTGTATTAATCAAGAGAAGTTTGAGACACTGGAAAAATTAAACTTTATGTGATTTGGACAGCATGAAGAAGTTAAGCACTGTAACAAAAACCTCCCTGATGCTCACAATGACTATTTGATACATTTGAAAAACAGCAGTGGATTCGAGGGCTGGAGAAGTATTAATTAATGAAACTGCCACTGCCTGTCATGCTGAAAAGCAAATTAAAAAAAAACCACAACAACAGTGAGAGGAAGAATGGGGGATGCAGGGAAAAGGTGGCATTCGGTGCTGAGAAAGCAATGCTTGATGAAGGATTAAAGGGACTAAAGAGAAAGACCGTCATTCTGCAATGGTTTGTTTCATTACAGTTTGGGGACCGCTAGCATTTCTAGTGCTCTCGCTCTTGACTGCGCACCATTAATAGTATGTGAATATGGAAATTGAAACACTTCCCGAGAAAAGCTTCTATTCTGCTTTGGAAAAGAAAAGCTAGTTGAACACTAAGAAAAAAAACAGGCTTCTGTGTTTTACTCTCAGGACCTTTTTTTTTGTAACAGGGCTACTTTCTTCAACCTGGTCACAAAGGAAGTCTTCACTTAATGAAAAAATAAAAAGGAGAAAATAAAACATTCAGCTGTCTAACACCGCTGATCTGTCTGTTTGGAAGAGAAAAGGTGTCACTGAATGGATTCAGGCAGCCCTGGGGCCATAAGGTGCTCTCTGCTCCTGCCTTTGGTTAGCAGACCAGCTGCTGCTCCTCCTTGGGCCCACTGATGTTCTGGAAAGAGGAGGAACTTCTTTTGTGGTGGCAGGTTAATGTTCATATAAATGTGTCATGTCTTGTACTTGGTGATCACTGGTGGTGTTAGGAAAAAAAAAAAGAAAAAAAAAGCTTTATATACCTCTTCTACAGTAACTCTTTAACTGCAAGTTTTCAAGGTGGGGTTGTGGCACATAACAGGTTGTTAAACCATGCAGTGTAAGCAATTAAAAACGTATTCCACAGATATAAATATTTTCTTTTCTTATTGCTGTGACACTATGTGTGATGGTAATATTTCTGAAAGTTTCAGATTTTGCACATATAATTTTATGCATTATCAAAAGTTACTGCTGCCTTGAAAGAAAATGTTCTGTGAAAATTTTTGCAAAAGCTTTACTAGTTTGTTTGTTTTTTTTAAATTGTAACATTTTGTAAAGGCAGGAAATGGAGTTAAAACAACTAGCATGCTAAATATATTTTTCAAAAAAGCAATAATTTTACATGTACAGAAATGATGCTAACCTTTAATACAGGTGAGACCACAGTTTACTTAATACAGTAATGGGATAGTGCTGTTTTTGTAGAAATGGGCTTCTGACAAAAGATTTGTTTAAAAAAAAGGCAGAAAAAACTTTAAAACGTGATCTTTCTGTTCTAACAGTTCTGTTCTAACAGGTGGGTGGGAGGGTGCTTTTTAAAGAAAATCTAGTCAGCAATTTGGGCTGGATACTACTTGTTACTTGTTTTGAATTACTTGACAGGTTTTGTTACTTTGCAACACTTGCAACAATGCAAATTAACTTTCTTACTTATTTTTTTCAAACTAGATTTTCCTTATGCTATTACACGAGATGTGAACCAGAGTTCTCTGTAAGTCTCGGTGTAGTTAGGAATGTCTGTGCAAGTACTTAAAAGTGATTGTAATTAACTGTTCTGTGAAGTTATTTGGAGGGAGTTCGCATAGACACATTCCATTGTACACCAAAAAAAAAGAAAAAAAGAAAAGAAAAAGTTAAATATTTTGCTGTGTTGCTTAATGATTATCATTTTGGGTTTGCACTAGCTTTCTCTTTGGTTTTGATTTTTTTTAATTACTTTTTTTTCTTTTGTTTTCTTGCTTTTCTGAGTCATATTTTCCATGAGAGAAAGTAATGGTGACAGTTCAGGAATGCAAAAAAGCTAGTTGCTTAACCTGTTTGTTTGTGGTTTAGTTATTAAAAACTCTTCTATACCCAAAATGGCACAAAAGTGTAGTGTACATTTGTAAATTCTCTCTTTTTTTAAATTGATTTTTTTTTTTTGGCAAGCTGAACCAGAAAATCTGAGTTAATATTTAGAGCCAAAATCTTCTTTCTGAAATTTTCTTCCCGAATTCTTGCCAGAGAAGCTAGTGCTGTCACTGCCACTGCCAGGGTACTAATCAGCAAAGTTTACAATCATAATTTAGCTTCATGAAGAACAACAGTAGGAGAAATCAGTTTAAATAATTATATGCTGTGTATGGCACAGAAGTGAGATTTTCACTTAATTAAACAAGAAATAAGAGTGGGTGGGGGAAAACCAACCTTAAGGACCATCTGTTTTTGAAAGTGAATCCCACGATTTCTGGTTTTTTTTCTTTATCATTGTATTGTATTGATTTGTTATTTTAGTTAGACCATAGTATTTAAAATGAGTTGTGTTCTTATTTATTTAGTCAGATGGGCTTTGATCAGCTCTTTTAAGCAACGTGATAAGTTTTTTTGGCATGACACACTCCTGTAAAGCCCTTTTATGACTGTTACAGGGACTTTCTACTACCTCTACCAATCTACTGTTTCTTCTTCTTAACAGGTTTTTATGGTGTTGCAAGTCTAATGTAACTTAGACAATAAAGGGTTTGATTATCTACACTGCAGATTCCCAGTGTATCTGCCATCTCTCTCTCTTTCTCTCTCTCCCTTTCTCTCTGGTTTGTGTGTGGTTTATTTTAGCTAAAGTGTAGGAGACTCTTTTATTGTGGCTGAAGCGAAAGACCAGCAGAGTATTTTTGTATCCTGAATGTTGTACACTGACCAGAAGTCCAGCTTGGAGAAGCTTTATCCACAGGGCTAATCAGCTACATTTGCCACCATGCTGCATTCTTGAAATTCCTTCTGTCAGAAACGCTGTATAAATGGGTGCATTCTACAAAAAGTTAAGCCAGTTGGAAAGCCAAGACAGTTTTTGTTTTTTAAAACCTCTTAAAAGCCCTTAGTGATAAACCTTACCATAAATTGCTGCCTCTGTCCTACCAAAGACTGAGCTTTGATGAAAACAGCTGAGTGTTATCCTTTAGAAAACAGCACATACTAGTTGGTGCAAAAAGTGGTTTGTTATTGACTGTAGGATACAGATTTCTCACTGGGGGATTTCCAGGCACTGATATCCTGCAGGTTTTATGGTAATCCCTGTAAATGTGTTGCTTTGGGAAACTTTGTGGTGTTGTTCACCCTGCTGGAGGCATCAGAGCGTGCGTGATGTTTGGAGCCAGCAAAATAAAAAAGTCCTGTTACTCTAGTGGGAGCGCATCCCTCCTGTTCACTCCTTCTCGCACCTATAGAGCTCCTGACCAGGCCTGTGCTTGGTTTTGTTCTTCCTTGCCATATTCCCATGCTGGGCTACCTCAAGTGTATCTCAGCAGCTCCATCAGGAGTGCTGGAATTCAGTGATGTAGGTGGGGATTTGTCCTTGAAAAACCAATGTGTCACAAGGCCTGGAACAAAGCAAGAGGTAACTTCTTTGTTAGATTCTTAATACTTAAAAAATGTTGGATTACTGGGGGAAAGATTGCATTTTATGACAAGACAGATTTCCCAGCCTCCCTGCAAGCCACTATTTTTAAGCAGCAGTTCTGTGCAAAGCACCAAATTGCAGAGTCTTCTCCACGTGTGCTCTGTCCTTTCTCTTCTGCTGTGTTTGAGAACCCCACACTTCAGGGCAGTCCCGTGTTCAGAGACAGAGCACAGGTGGATTCACTCGGAGCTCACAGGTAAGGAACACCAGCCCCTCCCAGTGCTTAGAGGGTAACACAAATGAAATGGAGTGTGTTGATACATAAAAAACCTTCTAATTTAGTTTTTTATTACAAATTATGAAATGATTGTTTCTGGATAGCAGCAAGTGGTGTAAAGCAGTTGAAGATAATTGAAAGCACAGACATGGTCCCCTGTTAGCTGTTTTCTATGGGACTCTGGGAATGCTCTCACTTTCAAGAGGGACTGTACCCATGTGAGGACATCATTAACTATCTCCAAGTATGGAGTAGCTGTTGCTTGTTTGGTTTTTTTTTCTTTCCCTCATAGGTTTATTAATATTGCATTTGGGAGGAAGAAAACCATAACCACCCTAAAACACTAGAAAATAATGCTCTTTTGTTTGAGGGTGCTAGTCACAGAGTAAATAGTGCATGGAAAAAATAAATCCATATATGTTGGGTGTAAGCAAGTATTTTCAAACTGACCACCAGCTGCTGGTCAGAGTAAGGGATGCTTTTGCTAGTGAGAGAGGAAGGGGTATGTTGTGAGTGGGAACCAGGCAAAGACCAGGGGTTTGTTTGGTTCCCAGCTCTGTAGGTTGGAATACTGCAGTGGATGTTGCTCAGAGGGCCATAAGAAAGAGGAAGAAAGCCCATGAAAGATCAGGAAGGGGCTAAGTTTTGACCACCTGAAATTGAAGTAGGTGGAAAGCAGTCTCTGAGGAAGGCTGAAGCTGAGAACAGGACCAAGGAGAGACCAGAAGTGGAGCGAGAAGTTCAGAGGGGAATCACCATTGAGTGAAAATATTGCCAAAAAGGGAAAAAATCAACAGTTTGAGAGATGAAAAGAATTTGGAGATGGGGCAGAAACTCTGAAACCTAACCAGAAGAGTTGTGTGCCTATTGCAGAGGGCTTCTGTTGAAATGAAAGGAGGAGTGTGCAGACAGCTTCTGGGAAGATGGATTGGAAACTTACAAAAATAAGCACATAATTTAATCTCAGTGAATCATCTTATTCTGCAGAAAATGTTCTTAGGCTGAATGATGTTCTGACAGAAAATAAGGGAATGCCTTTTTTGATC